ATTCATTTACAGTAATGGTTCTCATGGCCAGAATTAATGTCCCAGAATAAAGTTGTTTTTCAAGATAATAATTTTCTATACAATTCCTCGTCAATTCCTTTGCAAAATAAATAAAGCTATTCTATATTAATTGCTTTATTTTAAGTTAGTTGATTCTTTTAAGTAATATTATTTTTAAAGAAGATTAATCAGAATATTCTTTCAAGGAAATGTACGCGCTATAATTTGATGTATTTATACATATAGCGAACAACATTTCAAATCTGTTGGATCATGTTTCATTTACATTTCTTTTCACACAACTCCTTTTATTATCAGTGATTTTCATGTTATTCCAAATGTAAATATAAGATTATTAGTCATTATATAATTTTTTTTTTGTTTTAAATATTTACTTTCACCTGTCAACTTGTGTCGACAATCAGGAAATGTGCTAAAATACAAGAAATAAAGACAGGCATGGGGAAGCTTATATAAATGAAAATGTTTTTAATACATTAAAAAACATAATATTTGTCCTATGTCATGACATCGCATTACGTAGTATTTCTTATTGCTTTGGCAAAAATAGAAAATTGTTTTTTCTTTCACTTTTTTTTTTAATCCATACTTAATAATAAAGCTAGGTTGCTATTACTTTGACTTAGTTAGAAGTTAAATTTAAAATTATTAAACGAAGTAGTTGAAAAGGAGGCGGGATATTGTTAGGGGGAGGGGCCTTTGAAGTCGGTCTTGTAAAAAAGAAGTTATAATTGGATGGGTTTTAATGATGCCCTAATCTTTGGCAACGGCTCGGCCAGGACAAAAGGGGGAAGGCGAAGACCGCTCTGAGATTGGAGAGAAAAAAAAATGGCGAGAGATTTCGTACTCGAGGAATCGTGGAGTAATTAGTTGATTATTCAGTGTTGATAGGTTCGACGGCCTCACAACAAATATAAGGGCTATATCTGGCTTCAAAGGATGTCTTTCCTCTTTGATGTTATTTACGGAATGCGGGCTACACTTTTTACTACGTCGAAGCCATTATTTGACCGTGGTTCTGGATAGCAGGTTAGGGTGAGTTACGGAGGGGAACATGGTAAGGGTCAATGGAAACTTTAAAAAGAACACTGTGATTGATATCTAAAAAAAAAAAAGAAGGAGGAGAATAAGAGAAGGCCAAAAGAATAATCTAAGGTACAGAACCCTTTTTATCAAATTATTAACAGCCACCTAAAACTTCGTGAATAGTTTCAGCTCATCGTAACGTACAATTTTTACGTCAAATGTTGTCAATGTAAAACGAACGAAGTTATGTTTTAATAATAAATAAATTATTATTCTAGAGTGGCAATACTATAGGATCTGTTCCAACAAGCAGTCCTGGATTCATTTACGAAAATTATTGGAATTAGTGCATATATATATATATATATATGATATATACTCTACCCCGTGTACTTAAATCGGGATTCGGGATGTGGTTTACTAGGATGCTAATAGCCTCCTGAGGTTCGGTCCATGGACGGTCTGTTTCGGAGAAAGAAAAATAGGTCCTCGTGCGCCTGCTGACTCCGAGCAGCCATGATCCATGGATCTAGACCCATTTCTTGAACCCGAGTGAGTCAGTGGAAAGGACATTGCCAGATTGGCCCCAAAGGGATCGGCGATGGAGCTACGGCTGGCCTGACGCTGCACCATTGAGACCATGGTTCGTAGCAATCTGAGGTTGGGTGACCCCCTCCAGGCTATCTGAGCTCCTGAAAGCAGTGTACGTCTGTAAGGAGACCACATCTCGCGGCTAAAGATCTTCATGGTCTGTAATGCAAACCGAAATATGCATATATATAAAATATATCAGACATCTCCGAACGCTCATCAAATAGTTTTCAAGTTGATTTACGTCCCCACCCACCTGCGATGACCATCCATTCATTACAATGGTCTATTGATCTCGATCTATTAATTAAATTTAAATATATTAATAATACATACGTGACTAAAATATATATCATGTAGATATATCATCTGCAATCGGACAAACCTGTTTACCAAATAGCAAATGGTTAATTTTCAAACCGAGTAGGAATGAATGTACGCCAATCAAAATTTATTAAAGTTTTAATGAGCAATTTTCATCTACCGGGGATACGAACACTAAACCAATTTAATTTCTCATCCAATTTCATATCATGTCCTTCAACTGGAATCGATCAATAACCGTCCATATTTTTTATGTTTTATGATTGCGCAATTTTAATAACTACAAATAATTCATTTTCTTTTATTTCCACCATGTACCTTTTACATTTTGTATCTCTTGTAGTCCTGATAAAGAAATACAAAGTGGGTCGAAACGATTAAAATACTATTTTAGCAATTTAGTATTTATTTGACCGCACCCCTCGATCAACTCCTTCTCAATTTATTTTTTTTAATAATCTTGTTTTAACAGCAAAAAAAAAATCGATAAAACCTCATCAAGTTAAGATTATTAGTTACAGAGGTCTGTGGAAAAAAAAAAAAAAAAGCGTTTCAACTTTATAAATGATTTCTAGAGTAATTTTCGTGCTCCGAGCATTCCTTTTTTTTTTTTTACTGTGAATTATCACATTCTGTCTCAATTAAGGACATGTACAATATATATCAAAGAGAACATTTACACTAATGGAAAAAATCCATCACCTTCACTTTACCTTTGAATCAGACACCGACTCTACTTTAGTTAAACGTTTTCTGACATACATACAAACATTGTAAACCCATAATTAATTTTTTGTTCTAAGTGCAAATTAAAATTTGCAAAATTAATTAAAACTGATCTTTTAGTTATTTATTATTTATGACATAAAATAAAAATAAATAGCATCAAGCGCGTTTTTTTCGCCGAACGACCAATTAAACATTTCTTACTTTTTCCAAAAGACTGATATAAAATTGTTTGCTAACTACTATCGTTCTTGTTATATTTAAAAAAATAAAAAAGGGATTTCATATCAACACCTCTTCTGATAATGGTCGTGTTCTTTCTGGACTCCATCCCCTTTTCGTCTTGTTACAGTGAAAAATGTTTTAGAAGAGATTTTATCTCTAAATTTTTTTTTCTTTTACGGTCGTTTTAGCATTAATTCAGTAAATAAATGTGTTATTGTTATGAGGCGATGATGATATAAATTTCTAAATATATTAGCTAAAATATTTTTATAATATGTTGAATTTTAAAATTAACGACAGGAGGGGAGGAGGGACAAAACCATGTTTATTCCACCTGGCAAATATTCTAGCCGCTCTATGTATTAAATATTCTAGTTTGACTCTGTTTTTTTTAATAGCTGGTTCATTTTATGTTTACAGAACTGTATTATTTACAATTAATGAGAGATGTATCCTTGCACAATACATTTATTATTATATATATTTCATATATACTATTTTATTATTTATATATATTTATTATACCTCGGAAAGTATGTAAGAAATCAAAGTAAAATTAAACATGGTAAATAAGGACAGCAAACCAAACCAATGAAATATATTAAATTCATTGATAATAATTGTTTTTTAAATGTATTAATATATGTAGGCCATATTTAACTATGAGTAAATCTTAGCTATCAATAGACGATTATGTCGACTGCATACTGAAGGTACACAAGTTTTTTTTTTATAAACTCGACCATAATTTTCGAAATGAATTTTCAGAATTAGCAAGCATTGTTCTAGCGTAATCATTGTTTTTTTTTGTTTTTTTCTCTTTAATTGTTTATCTGCACCTGTCATGGTAATAACAATCAGCAGACGTGCTATGATGATGAGGATTGGCATTATAGGCATGAGGAAGGATAGTACCCAGCAGCGTCTCTTCCTGGTCATTACTTTGATTTAGGTGAGGAGATCTCTCATCCAGCTGCTTTTTAGTCTCCTAATGATGGGCATGTCAGTCGTAGCCATGTCGTTCATAAGTCCGTTTGTGTGTCCGTGTAGTTTGAGATGAAAACGAGAGTAGTACGTATGTGTTGGTCTATAGTTGGTTGTCGTAAGTCGTTATGTTAAAGTCTTGTTGTTGTCATACCAGGGAGCTGCAGTTATTAGTCTTGTAAGTGAGTCTTCTTTGATGAACCGTAAAGCTGTGAGGCGTATGTCCAAATGGGTTTGAGCAGGTAAGTGTATGTATCTATTTTTTGTCTAATTTTCAATTTTGATTTAGAAAACAGTGAGTATAGTATTTTCAGTCGCTTGTTCAAAGTCTTTTCATTTTGACGTGTGGGCCCCAGGTCATCCTTCTGTCAAATATTAGTCCGAGGTAGCGTATAGTGTCCGTCTGAGGAATTGGATTGTTGCTGATATAAACTAGTGGGCATGTTTCTCGTCGAAGCGTAAATGTTATGTGTTGTGATTTGTTATGATTTAATCTAATTTTCAAAGTGAACACCAATTTTGTAAGTGATTTTGTGAATTTAATGAGGCTAGTCTGGGGTCATGGTGTTTTGTTAAAATTGTTGTATCGTCAGCGTAAGTAGCAGTCAATGTTTCGGAGGTGGTAGGCATGTCATGCGTATAGACAATGTAAAGTAAAGGTGCCAATATTGATCCTTGAGGCACCCCTGCTGATACTGGTCGAATCGAGGTAATTTCTAAACCCTGTCGGACAGAGAAAAATCTGTCGAAAAGGAAAGATTGGAGAATGAGATAGTTGGTATTAGGCAGTATTGTTTTGATTTTGAAGAGAAGTCCCTGGTGCCAGACTTTATCAAATGCCTGGGCAACATCCAGAAATACGCCGGTAGCATATTGTTTTTGCTTCAGCAATGTAGTCAGTAACTCTGTGTAATTGGTGTGTAGTTGAATGAAATGTACGAAAACTGAATAATCATTGTTAAATAACAAAACTTACATGTCTCTAGAAACAGAAATGCTAATTTAAAAACCCAATCTCTAAAAAAATATTCTTTACATAAGAATACGTTAAATAAATATACATATATGGTTTTAAACAATTTTTTTCAGCTATCATTAAACAGACGATCCCCTCATACTATTTGTTCTATCCCTGGAGGGAATTCCATACAATGGCAGTACAGAGCAGCTCACTGTTCAAACATGGCATAACATCCATCTTCCAGCGAGATCTCGCTCTGAACCAATACAGACTGGCTCGGTTTGTCCGGAGCGAGCCGATACCATCCACTCTGTTTGCCCAGACAGAACCCCCGATAAGATAGCCGGCGTGCGCCCCGGAGATAAGAACAAGCCGAGACCGTCCCGAAGCACTTGGCTCCCACAAGTGGGCCAGCAGGTCACTGTCAGCGATAGCGAGCCAGGCCCCTCTATTAAGTCCCACCTATCTCTAATGCTTCTAGTCGATAAAGCTAATTCTAATGTCAGGGCATTTATAAGTTTTCATTTTCAAAAATAAAGCCCTGCTTTACGGTAATAGAACAGAAAAAAAATCAGGTGCGTTGAGCGCATCATCCAAGTTGTAACTTTCACTTGTAACACTCTACTTTCAATACTTACATTGGCATACGTCGGGAAATTAATTATATCACGTTTTTCCTAGCTGTCTAATCTAACACGTATAATACGAAAACATAGATCCGTTTTCTGACTCAAAAGATGGATTTTCACACATCACAAACCTTGAAGAATGGTGTCGAAATTGGAGGATTAAAGTAAATTCCAATAAATCCCATCAAATCACCTTTACCCTTCAACAAATCCGATACCTTGGACAAATGTCTAACTTGGAATCCTCATACCAGACTGAAAAGACAAGAAACCGCACGACGTTTCCGACTACTCCAGCACTTACTAGACAAACGCTCTAAGCTCCCAGTCAATTACAAAAGACTCATATACATGACTACAATAAGACCTATTTGGATTTACGGAGTTGAGCTCTGGGACTCCACTAGGCCATCGAATTCCTCTCGTATCCAATCCTTCGTAAAATCCTCCTTTGTCACAAATGTAATCATCCATAACGACCTAAATGTTCCTAATGTTTCTGGCCTGGCCCAATCCAGATACCTATCCTTCCATAATAAAGTTCGGAACCATCCAAACCCTCTAGTTTCTAATCTTGCTTCCTCGAGATCCCCTTTTGTAAATACATTTTTAGAGTGCTACCAGTGGGTAGTTTCTCAACAAGTGGTCTGAATGAGATATAAAAAATTAGAAAAAGAAATATTCATATCACTACAACTCATGAAGAGTTTTGAGTTTAGTAATCTGTTAGGAAGTACTCTTTCAATGCCAAAGATAATGCAGGCAGAAGATCGAGCCAGAATCACGCCCAACCGTAAAGTTTTCCCCCTAATTAATTATTTAATTAAGCATACCCACTTTATAGAAGCTGGGTTTGCTACAGAAGGGTGTCTTTCGACTCCAGTGTCAAACCACGATGAAAAGTTACTTGATATCAGCCGGATTCGAACCCGAAACATTCAGCTTCGGAGCCCAGTCTTTAACTCACTGAGATACTCCGCTCCCTATCGGGTATTAAACCAAAGTGAATTTCATCCCAATCGTTAAATCATTCAACAACTTTGGTGAGTCATTGGAAAACTTGGGATATGTCAAATCTCTTATGGTTACAATTAAGACTTTAAATAGTCTTAAAGAATTAAAACAAGATAAATAGTTGTTAAGCTATCGTATATTTGGACTTCCAAAGGAACTATCACGCCTTGCGATTTAAAACACATACCGTCACAACCCGCATTTTAAAACACATATGTTCTGTTTTCTAGATAAATCTTAATTATTCCCAAATGCCAATAAGATGTTACATTCGGCATGTGATATTTATCACGTACTTAGGTTTCAAAATTCAAAATTTTGATTTTTATGTTAATCTTCGACGAAGATGTTGCTATAACAGCTTATACCTACTATATATACATATATACGTAAAATCCGTTTCGTACAACTTTTCGTTTTTGAGGTAGGGTGTTCGACTCACACGCTCATATCATTTTCAAAACTCGGTTTTTTGGACGCTTAAAACCTATACTTCCGTGTCCCTTTTATCATGTTTTTTCAAACAAAGGCATGTGGAAGTAAAAACGAAAGAGTAATTGTATAAATCCATCGGATTGAAAGTTCTTCTGAAAACTCCTGGTAATTATTTATTTTTTTCTGGTCTTATAGATATACATCGCCAAAAAAAAAAGGTTGACAAAAATTAGAATATACTACTTTTTTCGGATCCTTAAAAAAATAATAGCAATCCAACTAGAACCTTCAAATATAAAGATTCATTACTGGCCATCTTAAGGTCTTTTCGTCCCAGATTCACTCCTCAATTAGGACTCATCAAGTCGTTTGTAAAATGAAGAATTACGCTCACTCAAACCATAGTCTACTCACGCACAACGTTAATATGGCCAACTGTCTCTGTGGCCAAGTTTCTCTCGAGTTCATTCCATGCGATTCTTGAAAAATAAACTTTTGCTAAAATACGATATCTTGTTAAAGACGAAGTCTAACTTTGAATACTTGGCAAGAAATTAATATTCCTACATCCACTTTGTGGGAATCGAGTCTGGGAAATTTTCGTGGAGTTCTACAAACAGTTACCTACTATGGAACATATACATTGAATCTTTATACAGTTGAATAAACTGTTAAAATTGATTTAACTCTCTAACATGATATTTAAGCATATTATTTATCATCGGCCTAGTTTTATTATATTTATTTATTGACTAGTTTCAGATTCAAACTAGAAAGGCCCTTCGAATTGAATTAAAATCCTATACCAATTACAGTGGCAGAATTCTTTTTTTTTCTAAATAAAAGAAAACTTTCTATTAAAAAAATTTTTTGTTTACTATTTTCAGTATAGTATACCAAATCTCACCCTAAGCCACCGTATTTATTTCATCACTATGAAATATAATGCATTAGAAATACATCAGGTCATTTTTTAGTTAATGGAAAATGAAAATTTGAATAAAACATTATATATTATTAAATAAATAAATTTCAACTACCTTATTAGGAATAACAAAGCAGTCTGTTGTAACTTGGATTGCCATTTGTTTTTTCGGTTGTATGATATTTATAAATTTTATATTATTCATAATATTATTACTATTATTCAAGTATTTTGTGGTCTCATTCTGTTATTTATTATTATACATAGTGTATTTAACTAACTATTTATTTAAGATATTTACAAATGTATTACAATATAAATACATGAAGTAAATGTGTACACAGGAATATAATAACATGAAAATGCTTGTTGAGAAACTACCCACTCGTAGCACTCTAATAATATGTCTATAGAAGGAGATCCCGAGGCCATCTTCTTTTCAGACTCCTCGGAGGATTATCAGGAATCGAAGAGGAAGCAAGGTTATGAGGATTCGGATGGTTATGCAGTTTATTATGGAAGGTTAGGTATCTGGATTGGGCCAAATCGGAAACATATAGAACATTAATGTCTTTATGGATTATTTTATTTGTGACAAAGTAAGGAGCATTGAGGATTTTTGATTGTAATAGTGTATTTAAAAAAAATTAATATCTAAAAAACTGACTGTTGAAACTGAGTCCTGAAACTGATTGAAAAAAAAACTGAGTCCTGACTATTTATCACTCATGATATATAGAACAGTCTACTAACTTATAACTACTAACTACTAACTTCCTTCAATGATACTAAAAATTAATGTTTCAGAGAACTTTTTCCCGCGTTTTTTAGGTAAATATATAGATTTTTTTTACCTATACTAGGTAAGCAAAGTATTGCGACCTGGTCAAATTTCCGATTTGCGGTTTTGAGATATGTTTAAATGTAGGGTAATGAAATGCCGTACAAAACCATATAAAAATCGTTCAACTATTAACGAAGTTACAGCTTTTCAATTTCGTATGTAAGATTACGGGCTCATATCCTGGTGTCAGAAAGGGGTGAATAAGAGAGAAAAAAGAAAACTAAGTGTAAGTAAGAAAATCTTTTGCCCTTCTCACACAAGCTTCACTATTTCAGCTACTTTTAACAGAAATTATTGTTTGACAAAATTAGGCTATGGCAAAAAGTTTTTGATTAGCAATATTAGAGGGTATTGGAATTTTTATATTGATCTGCCACAAGCAGGTATATTGTTTACTCGGTATAGTTTATCAAAGAAATCGTACTCAAATCTTTTCTTTCATCAATTTTCAGGAAAATAAATCTAATTCATTTTTTGGTTCTTAATGGACATATATAAAGGTATAATAACTTTTCTGAAATAGGTAGGAAAGTCGTGTGATTGGACACACCAGATTTTTTTTATTTAAAATCATTCTTTGAGATATTTGCATACAAATTTTAATGAAGATCTCATCTCTCCCTGTAGAATATGAATATTCATATTAAAAAATATATTTATAGATATATACTCTTTTTGAATAATCTCAAACGTAATGTTTAAAGTGGATTAGCATATTAATTAGTTTAGAAAGCCTTGTAGAAGTTAATGAAGTGGAAATTGTAATTCAACTTTATTATGATTATGAAAATTCCATAACGAAAAATACCAGATATAAAATAATTGAAACAAAAACATTTTAAAATTATATGAATTAAATTATTGTTTTAATGATTTTAAATTTTCCGAACTCTTAAATACTCATTTCACCAAAAAATGAAAAATCAGAGATCATCCAATCATTGACTAAACAGTTTAAATTTATTGCAGTGTAGCGTTTTGATAATTTCCGGTTATCCTAAAGTGGTTAACAAGAAATGTTGAGAGTGGTCCAGACTGAAAATAACCAAAATCCATAACAAACATTGAGGTTTCTGCTTTTAGATCCGGCTTTTCTAGAACCCTTTTTATAACAAGTAATGTAAACATACTGCCCCATGCTATATATAAAGTTTGCTATGGCCTGCTCACATTATAACAAACTTGCTATAACTTAGGCCGTTAGATGTGCTGGCAATGCTAAACGCTGATAGAATGCAGTGTACCAAGAACTGTTAGTACAATACATTTCTCATATATACAGAAGTTGATTATTTCTAAGGAATATAAATGAGGTGTTATCCTGTATCTTAAAGGAAGTGGTAACTAAAAGAGTTTTTATCCTTATTTAAGGAAGCTAGTCGAATGTTCTACTTATCATGGGTAATGAATAGCCAGGACGCAGTCATAATATTTTTTTTTTAAATTTAATATAAGATACCCCACATGTTGGGGTTGAAACGTTGGCACAAATAATTTTTTTTTAAAAACAAATTTTATAATGACTGCGTCCTGACTATTTATCCTTATTGTTTGATTTTTTTATAAATTTTTATTAGGGGAATCTGAACGAAATGCATAGACTCGTTAATAATTCATAAACATCATTAATAAGGATCTAAAACTCATAGAAATGCAGAATAGAGATAGTTAGGGGGCGGGATGGCCGAGCGGGCTTATGCGTGTGAATAGCACCGTGCGTTGTCCGACAACCTGATGAACGAAGTTTAACATAGAAAAACAATTACGAATTCGAATCCAGGTGTCCGGTGTGACGTTTACAAGAAAAATCACATGTAGCCTAAAATACAAGGAAGGAGAGACCAAAAAAAAAAGTAGAGTTGGTTAAATAGTTCTCAGTCAAGTAGTCCTACACAAACTAACCAAATGCAAAGAGTACATCACTCGTAATTATTTCATTTGAAATCATCCACTCCAAATTTAAAAAGGAAACCAATAGTCTCAGATTTTTATGATTTTTTATTTTTTTATTTGTTTCTTTTTCCATCCTTCCTAATCATGTAAAATTTTATTTTGATATCTTAAATACGTTTTGACGTTGAGATACACTTCAAGAAAAAAAGTCTCTAATTTTCTCCCCATTGCTACAATTTTTCCAATAAGTCGAAAATTCATTTAATGACATATCTATCAAATCGTTTTTTCATTATAACACAAACTTTGACTAATTTTTTTTATTATTTAATTTTTTTTTTTTTTGTGACGGATTCTACTATGCAAGAAAGGTAAAATAAATTACATGAAATGATGTTACAGTGTTCCTTGAAAGACTGTTAAAAAAAAAAAATGAAAAAAATACACAGTAATTATTAAAACAGTAATGCTTTTAAGGAAATATGGTTTCTTGACACAGTTCTTACATTAAAATTAACATTTGTTTATTACACAAACAAATCTGTACTTATGAAAAATAAAATAAAATTCTATTTTTGGAAGATCTCAAATCAATCTGCCAGTGTTATTGATTATTAATTATAAAAAATGATGATTATTACATACGTATTACACATATATTAAAATCTATGATATATATTTTAAGCTATTTTTTCAATAATAACGAAAACCGAACCTATTTATACACCAACTAAATTTATTTTATTGAAAACAAAATACTATAATACAATAATAATATGTTTAAGTCTCCGCTAAGGATTTTATATATATATATATATATATATATATAAATAAAATTGGTAATTTGAAATTTTTTGATAATTTTGGATGAAGTCAGAATTTTTAAGCCTTTTTTATTTTATTGATTACGTGAGGATTTTTATAATGAGCATGAAATTACTTAGGAATGCGTTAAGAAATTATATCGAAACACTGGTGAATAATGTTGAGGGATGTGTATGTCTGTGCCTGACGGTTTAATCGAGTTTTGTTCCAGAGTTATGTAAGCAAAACGACGTTGTTTCGTTTGAGATAGACATTAAGAAAAAAAAAAAACTAATTTTCATCTCATCGCAAGGAAGACCAAAAAAAAAAAATATAGAGAGTTAGATAATCCCCAGTTAAGCAGTCCTATACATACTAACCAAATGCATATCACAAGTACATCACTCATAATTATTTAATTTGAAACCATCCACTCCAAGTTTAAAAAGGAAACCAATAGTATCAGATTTTTATGTTTTTCTTTTTATTTGTTTCTTTTTCCATACTTCCTAATCATGTAAAATTTTATTTTAATATCTTAAATACGTTTCGAGATATTAATCTTCGAAAATGTAAGCAAAACGACGTTGCGATACACTTTAAGGAAAAATAAATCAAATTAATTTTCTCCCCATCGCTACGATTTCTCCAATAAGAGGAAAGTTCATTTAATGATAGATCTATCAAATTGTTTGTTCCTTATAACATAAACTTGAACTAAACTCTTTTTATAATTTCTTAACTTTTTTTATAACGGTAACTACTAACCAAGAAAAGTAAAATAAACTTCATGAAATGACGTTACAGTGTTCATTGAAAGAATATATTTGTAATGATGATGATAAAAAAAATATTTGTAGTATAGTATAGTAGACAAGTCTTGGTCTTACGCACTCAGTCTTGATCTTGGTCTTGTGCAAGAGTATCCCAACAGTCTTGCAGTTACCAATTAGCCTATTACTATTGAGATATTACTGTAATTTTTCAGATAGAGGAAACCTAACTAAGCCCGATGAAA